TTAATATTGAAATGTAGAAGTTAAATACATAACCTCAAATATATATTTATATTTGTATATATGTATGTATATTTATATATTAATATATTTATATATTTTTTAGATTTTTTTTGTTTTTAGCTTTTAGAATAGATTTATGAATGTGGAAGGTATTTTTGGATTTTATATACGTACATATATACAAATATACATATACACATTATATATATATATATATATATATATATATATATATATATATATATATTTGTGTATGTATATATTTGAAATTTAAGTATTAATATAAATTTATACATATGCATTGTGAACTATAGACTGTTGAAATATATATTATAAAGAACATAAAAGACACCTTTACTTTTTAAAATTCCCAAACAAATTTCATGTTTTGGCCAGAAAATCTTATTCGACACCAAAATTAGATAATTTGGTACCAAAATTAGAAAATGCATGTGTGTGTGAGACAAGATTTGGCTTTTTGTCTACAATTTCTCAAAAAAGGCTTCACCGTTCTTTAAAATGTAAAAGCCATTTGAAGAAACTTGATATGGAAGAGTATTGATTGTTTTTGCAAAACGATCATGCAAATCGCTTCTTCACAATGTGCAGATAGGTGCAAAAATTTCACCCTCTTTTTGCCAGATTTCCTGAACCAATTTTGAAAATTGAAAAACTATTCGAAAGCTATCAGTTGAGAATCGTGCTGATTAGTTTTTGACAAATATCGCGTCATTTCTTCACTATTTTTTTTTTTTTTAAATTAGCTAATAATAATAATAAATCATTGTAAGATAATAAATCATTATAATTGTCTGGAATGTGCAAAAACAAATAGTATTGAAAAATTTATAAATAAGTTTATGAACATATATATATCATCGGAACTTAAAGTAAAACTTCTTTAGTCGCGACTAGGAAGTAAATCTGTGAAAATGCAACGATCATTTCTATACAGGTCGATTTGTGATTGGTAGTGTAGTTTTTGTCTACATTTCTTCAAAAAAGGCTGCACTGATCTTAAAAATGTAAAAGCCATTTGAAGAAACTTGATATGGAAGAGTGTTGATTGTTTTTGCAAAACGATCATGCAAGTCGCTTCTTCACAATGTGCAGATAGTGCAAAATTTTCACACTTTTTTGTTGAGAATCGTGCTGATCAGTTTTTGACAAATATCGCGCCATTTCTTTACTATTATTTTTTTTTAAATTAGCTACCCAGACAGCACAAGACATGCCAGGGAATGTCCCACTTGTCCTCACAATCTCCTAATATCGCGATATCCTATGAATATCCTATGAATATGCAACGGGACGTCTCAAAACCAAAGGACTCGAGCAGGTATAACGCTCGATTCACGAACATGTCGCTCTCGTACGCGCACGGCTTGAGACCTCGAAACGTATATGTTTGTCCCTTTCTCTTTCGTCGCGTCGGTTTTGCGTCCTTCGTCCTTTAAGGTTAAGCTAAGCGTCATCAAACAGACGCTTATATGTCGAATTATCATAGTTTTTGAGAAATAATAGTGAAAATTTTATTTGTTCTATATAATTATATGAGCGTGTGTTATAAATAATTAATATTATCTATCAAAATACTCTAAAATTGTGTAATAATAGTGGAAATTTTATGTGTCTATATAATTATATGTGCGTGTGTGTTATAAATATTGCAGCCAACATATTGAAAAGGGGGCAGATATAAACGATGGTAATTAAAGCTTTCTGTATACTGTTATTTGAAATACTATGTTACTAGTACAAATAGAATTTTTAATTTAATGCTGACATTTCTACCCTGCCAGCTTTCCAGCAACCATGCCTAATTTTGTATCAAATGCTGTGTTTGAAAGAGGATTGAGAAAGAAGAAATGCTCTCCACTATGTTTGTTGGAGGAGTTTCAACTTGTGGAGGCTATATTTCTGAGCAAAAATATCAAAACACAATTGGTAATCAAAAGTTTATATAGATTTATTTTTATTTGTTAACTTTATCATATACTAAACAAACTTTCTCTTTATATTCTGTATTTAGCCATCAGAGTCCAGCTATGAAAATCCATTTTTGATGATGGTTTGGACAAAGAATTTTGCTAGGGACGAGGAAAGGGCAAAAATAAATTTTGTGATCTAGTGCCTTGCGATGTCATCACAGGTAATTTATATATCTTATACTTATGATGTGTTGTAAATTATGAATTAAACTAATATATAATTAATTCCAGGAATTGCTTTGAAAAATTTGCCGCATGAGACATAGTTTACTGTTTCAGAGGCTGCAAAAAGCTGGCTGCGATGTGCCAATAAATATTATACAAGGTATTTTTGTGAGATGTGTACTATATGTTTTTCCTATTTACAAAAAAATCACGATTATTGACTGGTTAGTTGTATCAATGTTAGTGCAAAATTTGTGCTGTGTACACATTTTTAGATGTAAAAAACCAAGTTTAATATTCACTCGTAATGACATCAAATTGTGTCGATATATTTGGAATTAGAGATTATTTTATAAATCTCTGTCTATTTTGATTGATGTATCGCTCTTAAAGAACTTACTCATATATATATATATATATATACATATATATGCATTTATTCATTTGTTTTCTATTTCAGGAGAGAAAATCAACCATGAACTAGGATTGAATGCCGAATTAATTATATTTTTAATATTGTAAAATAAGTTATTTTGAATTAAAGTTGTATATATTAAATTTTGTTATAAATTATCTCAGGATTTTGTTATTTGTAATAAAAGTTTACTTTGTGAAATTGTGTTCTTTTATTTTATTTTTAATCCAATTTATTTTCATCTAAAAAGTAAAAACAATTCCATAATTATATCCTATTCATGTCCGGTTTATGTCCGGAATATCCCGCGCGGGATATCCTACAGAACGTCCCATAGGTGCGACATATTAACATGTTTCGGATAAGGTCAGGATAAGCGGGATATCCGTAAGGCTATCGCAGGGACAATGAATGTCCGCGCGTGGATATCCTGTGGACATTCTCCGGGATGTCTTGTGTTGTCTGGGTAATAATAATAATAAATCATTGTAAGATAATAAATCATTATAATTGTCTTGAATATGCAAAAACAAATAGTATTGATAAATTTATAAACAAGTTGATGAACATATATATCATCGGAACTTAAAGTAAAATTTCTTTAGTCGCGACTAGGAAGTAAATCTGTGAAAATGCAACGATCATTTCTATACAGGTCGATTTGTGATTGGTCGTCGTGTCACGTGAGAGGATTCTTTCGTTTCGTCAACACAAGCAGAAAGTTTTTCGAATCACTCAAATCGGATGCTTAGTTCTTTCAAAAACTGCTATTTTTTGCACATTTAGGTCGGTATCTCCAAAACGGCTAGACCAGCCTTTGTCAAGAACCAATCACCACTGCTCCCCGCCTAGACAATATTAGAATACCCTAGGTGTTCATGTGTGGCTCCCCGTCATTACAAATTGTATGTGTTTTTTTAACATTCAAATCGGATGCTCAGTTCTCTCAAAAACTCGATTTCTATTATCTGTACTCTTTGCTCTGTATCTCCGAAATGGCTTGCCAAAAACTAGTCAGCACAACTCCCTATCAATGGGACTCGAATGTTTTTTAAACCATTCAAATCGGTTGATCCGTGCGCCCGAAAACGTGACCGAAAAATTGTATCCATACAAAACACACACATCCATTTTTTCTAAGGTATGCCAAAATGTTCAGAAACCTTCAAAACGTGAAGAAATGCAAAAATTTTCAATTTTTTTGATGATTACAATTACTTAGCCTAGGGAAAATTAAAAATAAGTTTTATTTTATTTTAATAAAGTTATTGTGCATTTTTTAAAGTAATATTGGATAAATAATTTGTATTATGATAATATCAGTTATATATTTATCTATTTATTTATGCAACGCCCAAGGCAATAATACAATATAATTACATTTTAAAGTGTACAAATTATAAACTAAAAACTAGCTGTAAGTGGAATTCTGTCTTGAGGCAATTATGACATCGTGCCTTATGGCAAATTGCTGGAACTTCCCGTACCGTAACGAAATGTTCGTGGAATACTGAATGTTTTCAAATAGATTATTATAAATATTGTAACATTGTCTAATATTAATAAGAATTATATAAACTGAATTGCAGAGTTGAAATTATTTGTAAAGTATATTAGAACTATACAAAAAACTAAAAATAAAAAAAAAATTGGAATTTTTTTTTTTCCAATATCAATTATTTTGTTAAGACAAGCAGAAAGTTCTTTGAATCATTTAAATCGGACGCTTAGTTCTCTCAAAAATTGCCATTTTTTACATATTTAGCTCCGTATCTTCAAAATGGCTGGGCCTGCCTTTGCCAAAAACTAATAAACACTTCTCCCAATCATTACTAATTGAATGTTTTTAGATCATTCAAATCGGATACTCCGTTCTCTCAAAAATTCGATTTCTATTTTCTGCACTCTTTGCTCCGTATCTCCGAAACGGCTGGACCTGCCTTTGCCAAAAACTAATCAGCTCTTTTCCTTATCAATAGGAATCGAATGTTTTTTGAACCATTCAAATCGGTTGATCCGTGCGCCCTAAAACGTGACTGGAAATTTGTATCCATACATACATACACACACACACACACATCCATTTTTTCTGAGTTATGCCAAAACGTTCAGAAACCTTCAAAACGTCGAGAAATGTAAAAATTTTCAATTCCGATTTTCGGCTCATTACAATAACTTACCCTACGGGAAGTTAATAATATGTGAGAAAATTAAAGCATTAAGAGTTCATAGATAGCTTTGTATATATTTATATAATAGTAAAGTATGTAATAGTATTTATAAAATTAAATTGTTAAAAAAGTTAATGGGGGCACAACCATTTTTTTATTAGCGCGGGGGAAGCGGTTTAAAAAAGGTTGGAAGCCACTGCTTTATCGCTTTGAATGTTGGTACATTGCTTTCGCCGCCATGTTTTACAGGTTGGACATTTGAGTGAAAATATTCAATATGGCGAAAAATGTTTGTGATTAAACTATCAAAATTAAAGTAAATTTAAATTAAATTCTAATTTATTTAAGTTTTATATTATAAGTATAATAATATAAGTAATTAAAAATGTCTCAAGTTACAGTTATATTTCCAAGTGTTGACAAAATTAAAGAAGAACCCACTGATTATGTGGAAGAAATGGAAGTTACTTTAGAAGATTTTAAGGAAATAAAATCTGAACCAAATTTAGAAGACGATGAAATTTGTTTAAATAGATTCTTAAAATCCGAAGTGACTGTAGAAGAAGAAGTTAAACCACAATTAGACAATAAAGAAGAACAAAAGTCTATCAACAAAAGTGCTCAACTAGATACCAAATACCACAGCTGTAAAATTTGTTTCAAGGCCTTCAAATTGAGAAGTAATTTAGATAAGCATATGTTTGATCATATCGGTAATGAATCTTTCAAATGCAACTACTGCGACATGTTATTCATGTCTGCAATTGATTTAATGACACATCTCAAAGACCATCCTGACGATTCACCTTTAAAATGTGAAGTATGCTCTGTAGGATTTTCAGACATCGATATGTTAACCCAACACATGCAGTCTCACACAAAAGAACCTCCTTATAAGTGTGAGTTTTGTGATAAAGGTTTTACTAATTTAACAAAATTCGAAGATCACTTAATCATGCATTCTGGAGAACGTCGTTACAAATGTGATTTATGTAACAAACTTTTCAAGCATGCAGGTAGTTTCCGAAGACACTGTCTTGCTCACACAGACCTTCCTCATAAATGTGAAATTTGCAAACAAGCATTCACTGAACGATATGAGTTAGTAAACCATCTCAAACAACAACATAACGATGATATTTCTGTAAGAGCACAAATCTCTTTTGACACCCCCAGCCATCCTTATAAATGCGAAACGTGTGGCAAATCATTCAAGCAACCGGGTGGTTTAAAACACCACAAGTTCATACACACGGGTGAAAAAATGTTTAAATGCGGTATATGTCATAAGGCTTTCAGACAAGTAGGATGTTTGAATCGTCATTTAAAGATTCATACAAATGGGTGCCCCCATCAGTGTAATGTGTGTAATAAGTCATTTCAACAAGCTGATAGTTTAAAACAGCATATGAATGGTCACGAGGGGGTTAAGCCTCATAAATGTGATGTGTGTGATAGAACATTTAGTCTACCGGGCAATTTGAGGAAACATAAAATGACTCATAGAGGGGAGCTGCATTATGAGTGCGATATATGTGCAAAATCTTTCGTGCAATCTGATTATTTAGTCAATCATAGGAAAACACACTTTAAATAAATTGTAAAGAAATTTTATTTAAATAATAAATTAAACATTATTTAAAAATTGTAGATACTCATTGTTAGTATATTTAAGATTGTCTGATATATTCATTATCATAATCGTGGGAGGTAAACATAGAACAAATGCGCTTTACTCTGTATGAGTGTTTTCAGCATATCACAGATGGTGCTACTGTGCTTCAAATTCATTGTTTGTTTTAAAACACAGACTCTTAACATTTAACATTTTTTGAATGAAAAAAATGTTAAAACTTTATATGTTATGAGTTTTTTTGAACCAGGAATTTTGCTCATTAAATATCTCTATCATGTAGGTAATCCTAATTAACTAATTCTAAGTATTTAATTATTAAATATACAATATATGAAATATAGTAATATCGCATAAGATAGGTAGATAGGTATATATAAATTAATAACATTATTGTAAACTACATACAAAGAAATAACAGAAATACAATTCTTTAAAACTAAACTAAAAACTATGTTAAAACTTTTTCTTATTATATATTTTTTACTACATATTTGTGATTTTGTTGGAAATATATTTTATACACCTATATTTTGTTCTCATTTCGTGTAATCAGGTTTATCTTTTCTATATTATATATTTATATAAATGTTATCTAGAATTGAACCTAAGGGTAAATTTACGTGCTACGGTTAGTGGCGACATCTATGATATGCTGAAACAATTAAAATTGATGTAATTTCAAAGCGGCCGTGTTTGCCATCTGTTTATACATTATACTTGTTTATTTTGAACCTATATATATTTATTAACTTTCCATAGAGTAAGTTATAGTCATGTTATAGTAATCGCAAAAAAATCGAAAATAAATTTTTTGCATATCTTCACGTTTCAGCGGTTCCTGAACATTTGGCCATACCTTAGAACAAATGGATGTGTGTATGTGTGTGTGCGTGCATTTGTTTAGATGATATTTTTCATTAACACTACGGGAGTACGGATCAACCGATTAGAATGATTCAAATTTTATTGATGGGGAGACGTGCTGTTTACCTTTTGGGCAAAACAGGTTTACATGCTTTAGAGATGTGGAGCAAAAATAGCAGTTTTTGAGAGAATGGAACATCCGATTAGAATGATTCAAAAAACATTCAATTCGTATTGACGTGCTGATTAGTTATTTTGATAAAGGTAGGTCCAGTCCCTATCCAGTCGATTCAGAGATATGGAGCAAATAGTGCAAAAAATAGCAGTTTTTCAGAGAACGGAGTATCCGATTAGAAGGATTAAAAAAACATTCGATTCGCATTGACACGTGGTGATTAGTTTTTGGCAAGGCAGATTCAGATGTTTCGGAGATATGGAGCAATAATAACAGTTTTTGAGAGAAAAGAGCATCCGGTTAGAATGATTCAAAAAGCATGATTAGTTCTAGAGGAAAGTAGGTCCAGCGGATTCAAAGTTAAAAAAAATACAAATTTTCAAAAAAATATGCTAACTTTTAAATTTCAAAAATTCTAAAGGTAACATACCTTGAAATCAAGAATTTTAACTTTTTAATTTAGAAATATGAGATAATTCTCTAATGCATGATCAAATGTGAGATAAGACCCTTCTTAATTATCTAATTATTTTATTAACTTCCCGTAGGGTAAGTTATAGTAATGAGCCGAAATCTAATTTGAAAATTTTTGCATATCTTTACGTTTCAAAGATTTCTGAACATTTTGGCATACTTTAGAAAAAATGAATGTGTATGTATGTAAGTATGGATAAAATTTTTCGTCCACGATTTCGGGCGCACGGATCAACCGATTTGAATGGTTCAAAAAACATTCGATTCCTATATTGATTGCGAGATGTGCTGATTAGTTTTTGGCAAAGGCAGGTCTAGCCGTTTCGAAGATACGGAGCTAAATTTGCAAAAAATGGCAGTTTTGAGAGAAATAAGCATCCGATTTTAATGATTCAAAAAACATTCAATTCGAAATGATGGGGAGAAGTGGTGATTAGATTTCGGTAAAGGTAGGTCTAGCCGTTTCGAAGATACGGAGCCAAAATATGCAAAAAATGGCAGTTTTTGAGAGAACTAAGCATCCGATTTGAATGATTCAAAAAGCTTTCTGTTTGTGTTGACGAAACGATTGTTTTTGGTAAAAAACTAAGTTTTATTTCAGCAATTTGCATTAAGGCACGATGCCATACACCACTTGTTATTATTGCCATTAATTAATAAATAAAGAAATAACGAAAAATATTTTTAAAACAGTTTTATTTCAAAATTAGAAATATTTTTATTTGGTAACGCTGAAATCTTGTGCAGCTGTCAAACAAACTGTTAAATGAATGACTCTGGAATAAACATATTATTTCTTATTTATTTTAATTGTTACACAAAGTTATAGATTAAAAATAATAATAAATATATTATAAATTAATAAATTTAAATGTAAAAAATAGTGTACGCGTGCAGTATTTGTGATAAATTGATGAACATAGAAGTAATATAGAATACATTTAGGTTAGTTCACAAGAATAATTTTTATTAAGCTTAATTTATACAAAAAGAACTATGAATATTTACTTCTTGATAAAAGTATGCAAAGTATAATTAGAACTTAATTCTAACTTTTGTATTTCAGCTTTATAATAAAATAAAAGCTTTTAACAAGAAGTTGTGTCAATTTCCCTATCTGTCAAATATGAAGTGTCTTGAGGAAAAAATCATTTTGCTAACATAAATTGTGCAAATTAGACTTCTTTCAACTTAAGGTAAAATTACAGAATAAGTATTTCTTGTAGATTAGATTTTGAGACAGAAGTTTCTTAATAAATTGATTTAAACATTTTCCGTTAACTGGAAGCCAAAATAATAAATAGTAAACACACTTTAAATAAATTGTACTCATTGTCATTATATTTGTGTGATATTAATATTAATTAGGGGGCATCCATTAATCATGTGATTGATTTTTTAAAAATATTTGAACCCGCCCCGTACCTCTTGGTGATACGTTGAGATATTCAAATATGAAATGCATCCTTGTAAAAATATAATCTATTACTCAACTCATATGTTCATTTGCTATTAATTTAGTTCAATTTAGTTAAATTTATTATCATTACTTATAGAATACATTTAATGCAAGTATTTCAAAATGTCAGAAGCAACAACTATCCCTGACAATGAACCAAAAATTAAAATCGAACCAACAGAAAGTTCAATTGAAGACATTAAAAATGAAATAAAGGAAGAGCCTGAATCGTGTTTAGAAAATGAGGCAACATGTTTGAAGCGCTTCATGAATTCTGTAGTAGAGATAGAAGAAGAGGTCAAGCAGGAATTAATTCAGGCTCCTTGTGGTAAGTGTAATTTAAAGTAGATTATTTACAATATAATTTAAAATAGCATCTGGTACAGTAATACCCCGCTTAACATGGGTGATACGTTTCACCAAACTAGAGCCTAATGCAAAGCAGCACTAAACCAGGCCATCTTTAGGGGAACATGTCTAGGAAATTGATTTAAACTAAATTTAAAAAGTATGTTTCTTTGATAAAAATGAATCCAAGCATTTATTTTTTAAAGCCAAAATAATATCACATTTTTATTTCTTGCAAGGATAAAAGTAAATATAAAAAAAAAGTGTGCACGTAAGTTTTACACGAGATTGAAGTAAAACTTATTTACTACTGTACAAAGTAGCAAATTTAAGTTAAGTAAAAATAAATACGTAATATAACAATTTTGAATAATGTTTATTAGTAATATGGTAACACTCGTGATGCACACATTTATTAGTGCCAACCATTATACACATTTATATAATGATGAATTGTAAATTATATATACATAATAGTATTAAAGATATGTGAAAATATTTGAAAACAATAATGTAATTAAAGTCATACTTCAAATATGGTACGATCGGTTTGTCATTGTAATTAGCACTTAGAAATGAACCTTCGTTAGAGAAATAAAGTAATTGCTGTTTAATAAATTTTTCAATATTTGTTCACACAGTGGATTATGTTAAACAATGCCTAAACAAATATTGTTTTTGCAACTTAACTCATCATGTAATTGTGTATGAAGAACTTCATGTAATTAAAATCAACATACATTCATTGACTGCTTGTATTTTTTTTTACTTTTTTGCTGGCGATATAATCTCATTCTTTGAACAGCTATAATATCTGTCTTGCCTAAAAAATATTTTCCATTTTAATAATTTCAAAGATTTATAGTAACTACAAATAATATAGAAATAATTTCTAATCAATAAATTTATGTTTAGTTCACGGCACAAATGTTAAATTTGTTTTATTATTTTCAAGGAACAGGATAAAATATTCTTCTGATTCAGGCATTTTTCATTAAATCAAGATTTGTACTACGATGTAACTTTAAAATGTTTATTTATCTATGCCGATCCCCTTGTTGAGATTATGCTTGTTTATCTATGCCGATCCCCTTGTATGAGAGTATGCAACGACAGATCTCTATTCACATACACGACGACTAATCACAATCGACCTCGAATCGAGCGAATGACGTATAGCTCCACCGTAACGGACTTCCGTTGCATTTGTACGGATTTACACCCTAGTCGCGCCTAAAGAAGTTTTACTTCAATAATAAAATAAATATTCATAAATAAACAAATAAATAAATTTTAAGTCAGTTATATTTAGTTAGCCTTCCGCGTTTTCAGTATTCTGCCTTTTTGTGACAAAAGCATCTAATGTTTTTTGCCTTTTTCTTAAAAGTTCTTTATAAACGGGTAGAGCATCTCTAACACCAAGTTCTACTTTTGTGTTCCTGTCAAAATTGGGATCATTTTCAATGAATTTTGATCCACCATTTCAGTAGGTAGACAGACTCATTTTTACAAACTCCATCGAAAGTTCTATTTGTTCAGAAACCTTTGAAATGTAAAGATATATAAAAATTTTCATTTTCGATTTTTTTGCGATTACTATAACTTGCCCTCGAGAAGTTAATAAAAGAGCGCTAAACTAAACAGCGTTAAGCGGGGTATTGCTGTTGTAGTTTATAAAATAGAATGTACATATTGTTCAATGACTTTTCCAGATGCAAGTGCTTTAGAAATACATGTAACAGTTCATACTGATGAGAAACCTTTTGTATGCACAATATGCAATATAGGATTCACTATGAAAAATCATTTAGATCAACACGTTTGTGCTCAAGCCGAGGAACAAACTTCAAACTTCAATGAATCTGATAATGCAAAACAAAATATTCCTGCTAATACTGCAGAAGGTCTTCATAAATGTGAAGTATGTAATAAGGCATTCCAATATCAATGCAGCTTGAAAAACCACATGCTTATTCACAGTGGGACTAGCCCCCATAAATGTGATCTATGTGATAAGATATTCACACAATCGAGTCATTTAAAACAACACATGCGCGTTCACAATGGGGAGCGCCCATATAAATGTGAAAAATGCCATAAGACATTCACACTATTGAGTAACATGAAAGATCATATGAACGTCCACAGTCAAAAACGCTCCTACAAATGTAACATATGTGATAAAACATTCATTCATTCGAGAAGCTTGAAAAAACATACACTCGCTCACAGTGGAGATCGCCCCCATATTTGCAAACTTTGTAATCAAAGATTCACACAATCGAGTAGCTTAAAAACACATATGCAAATTCACAGTGGGGAGCGCCCTCATAATTGTGTAATATGCAATAAGACATTCACGCGATTGGATACTTTAAAAAAACATATGCTCGTTCACAATGAAGAACGTTCTTTTAAATGTGAATTATGTGATAAGGCATTTAAGGAATTGAATACCTTGAAAGAACATATGCTTATTCACAGGGGGGATTGTCCTCATAAGTGTAAAATTTGCTTTAATGCATTCACAAGAGCGAGTCACCTGAAAAGGCATATGCTTATTCACACTGGACATCGTCCTCATTGTTGTGAAATATGCAATAAGAGTTTCACACAAATAAATACTTTGAAAAGGCACATGCTTGTCCATACTAGAAAGCAATAATAAATATATTAATTATTATGAATTATACTATAATAAGGGATAAACACAAGTAATGTAAAATATGCTATAATACATTCACAAGAGCAAGTCAGTTGAAAAGACATATGTTAATTCACATTGGAGATCGTCCTCATTGTTGTGAAATATGCAATAAGAGTTTCACACAAGTAAATACTTTGAAAAGGCACATGCTTGTCCATACTAGAAAGCAATAATAAATATATTAATTATTATGGATTATACTATAATAAGGGATTAACCCAAGTAATGTAAAATATGCTATAATGCATTCACAAGAGTAAGTAACTTGAAGAGACGTATGCTAATTCACACTGGAGATCGTCCTCATTGTTGAAAAATATGCAATAAGAGTTTCACACAAATAAATACTTTGAAGAGGCACATGCTTGTCCACACTAGAAAGAAATAATAAATATATTAATTATGAATTATGCTATAATAAGGGATAAACACAAGTAATGTAAAATATGCTATAATACAGTCACAAAAGCAAGTCGCTTGAAAAGGCATATGCTTATTCACACTGGAGATCGTCCTCATTGTTGTAAAATATGCAATAAGAGTTTCACACAAGAAAATACATTGAAAAGACACATGCTTGTCCATACTAGAAAGAAATAATAAATATATTAATTATGAATTATGCTATAATAAGGGATAAACACAAGTAATGTAAAATATGCTATAATACATTCACAAGAGCAAGTCACTTGAAAAGACATATGTTAATTCACACTGGAGATCGTCTTCATTGTTGTGAAATATGTGATAAGAGTTTTACACAAATAAATACTTTGAAAAGGCACATGCTTGTCCATAGCAGAAAGTAATTATAAATATACTAAATCAGATTTTTTTACATACAAGCCTTAAAATATATTCAAATCATTTAATAATTATAGGGCTTAAGTTTGATGTTAGGTTCAAAAATATATAGTTAAATTTAATAAATAAATAAAAAAATATTTGTGGTAAAAAAAACAAATTGATTTTCCAAAGTGACAATCTTATATAATAAGGGATCAACACAAATATTAAACAAAATAAGAGGTTTATGTTAAATGTTTGTGCAGTTTGTATATATTTTAAATATAAATAAACAATGTTGTAAATGACCTATGTAAAATTTCATTGCAATGTTTTAGATATGTATATAGGTTGCCAATCGGCTGATCAAGAAGAATATGTATATCATTAATTACATAAAAAATCAGTTATTGATACAGGAGGGTTATTATACCAACTAATATTGATATTAATGATGATCTAGTTCACGCTTGTGTTGAAAAGTTAGTTTTTATAGAGAATAAAACCATAATTAACACGAAAAAAATCAAAATGAATGATTTTGTTCTTTGGTATTTGCTCAAGCACTTATTACAATACTCAAACCCCAAGGTAAAATTTTTGACAAGATAGTATATGAATACTATAAAACTCATATTCAACAGCTTCTATATTTTGCATTATTTCTAGCCACGAGTATTAATGGATTGTTTATTGTTTCTAGAACCAGCAAAAATAAAGTCGATATCAGCTAATTTTAATGCTGATTACAAATTCATTTTCTATTATAATTTTGCAAAATTTATGTCCGAAACCTGATATTAGATGATATATATAATTTTGACCCAAAGGCTACTAAGTTGTGAGTAAATTTAAGTAATGAAAAGTTAATGAAATTTGAATCTATTATGGAAATAGTGTTTTAGTGACGCTGATAGTCCTAGCAGATTTACAGGCACCAGGAGATTAGTGGTGAAACAACATCAATCCATACAAGGTTAGTGCATAATCCTATTTTTAACTTCCCATAGGGCAAGGTAAAATTTTTACATTTCTCGACGTTTTGAAAGTTTCTAAACATTTTGGCATACCTCAGAAAAAATGGATGGGTGTGTGTGTGTGTGGATACAATTTTTCGGTCACGTTTTCAGGCGCACAGATCAACCGATTTGAAAGGTTCAAAAAACATTCGATTGCTATTTATAGGGAGATATGCTGATTAGTTTTTGGCAAAGACTGGTCCAGCCGTTACGGAGATACCGAGCCAAGAGTGCAGAAAATACAAATCGACTTCTTGAGAGAACGGTGTATATGATTTGAATGATCTAAAAAACTTTTAATTTCTAATGTGTGGGAGAAGAGGTAATTATTTTGGCAAAGGCAGGTCCAGCCATTTGGAAGGTACAGAGCTAAATGTACAAAAAATGGCAGTTTTTGAGAGAACTAAGCAGCCGATTTGAATGATTCAAAGAACTTTTTGCTTGTTTCACAAAATAATAATAGTTTTTAGAAAAAAAAAGTTTTAATTTTTTTCCAAAAATTTTATTTGTGTATATCAAAAATAATTCAGATTTTAATTTTAATTTTGACTAAAGTTCTAATACACTTCAAACAAATAATTTCAACTTTGCAATTCAGTTTTTAAAATTGTTATAAATATTAGACAATGTTACAATATTTTAATAATCTAGTTGAAAACATTTAATATTCCTCGAACATTTCGGTACGGTATGGAAAGTTCCAGCAATTTGCCTTAAGGCACAATGCCATACACCACTAGTTTATTAATATATTACAGAATAATTTGAAAAAATAAATAAAATATCCAACCTTTAATAAAAAATTTACATGTGGATCCACCACATTATTAAAATAAGATATTTACAATATAAAACATTATTAGAATTAAATCTTTACATGAGTAGTTGATAATACTGTTTATTTATCTTTATAATATTTATATATAAATTGTTAAAAGTATTTATTTTGTTGTACAAAATTAATGTCTTTCAATAAGATAAACCTTTATTGCAAGGTCTCTTTCGGTGACCATTATTGCATATTTAATATTTGTTGTACATTGCATTATTTTGTTGTACAAAATTAATGTTTTCAATAAGATAAACCTTTATTGCAAGGTCTCTTTCGGTGACCATTATTGCATATTTAATATGTTATTACTCCTGTATGAGTGTCCATGTGCTTTTCATTATCGGCTCGTGTAAATGTCTTATCACATACATCACATTTATGGGAGTCTCCCCACTGTGAACAAGCATATGTCGTTTCATGCTAGAATAATGAGCAAAAGTCTCATTGCATATTTCACAAGTATGTAGTTGTTTCCCACTGTGTACCAGCATATGTCTTTTCAGGTGAATGAGTTGCGTGAATGTCTCATAACATGTTCCACATTTATGGGGACGATCTGCAGTGTGAATGAGCATGTTTTTTCAAACTTCATGAATGTTTGGATAAAGAACAGCCATGCGTTTTTTCATGACCTTTATGCATATTTATTATTTGTTATTACTCTCCTGTATGAGTGTCCATGTGCTTTTTCAGATTATTGGCTCGTGTAAAGTCTTGTCACATACATCACATTTATGGGAGTCTTCCCCACTGTGAACGAGCATATGACGTTTCATGCTAGAATAATGAGCAAAAGTCTCATTGCATATTTCACAAGTGTGCAGTTGTTTCCCACTGTGTACCAGCATATGTCTTTTCAGGTGTATTTGTTGTGTGAATGTCTCATAACATGTTTCACATTTATGGGGACGA